TGGGCGCCGTGGCCCGGTACACCGTGTGGCCGGCCGGGCCGACGACGGTCAGCTGGTAGCCCTTGCCGCCACAGTTCAGCTTGGCCGTCCAGGTGGCCTGGGCGGTCTGGCGCGTGACGCTGGTCCAGTACTTGAACCCTGGCGCCCCGGTGGGGGCCGTTGTGGTGCTGGCGGTGCCGGCGCGCGGGTCGGTCACCTGCACGCTGCAGGTGGTGTTGAACACGACACCCAGGCGGCGCGGCGTGGCCCCGGCCTTGGTGAGCGTGATGCGTGTGGACTCGCTGAAGCCGGTGGTGTCGAGCTTGTAGCTGCGGCGGGCGCTGGCATCGGTGCGGTAGCTGGCCTGGAGCACGTCCAGGAAGCCCGTGGTGGGGTCGAAGGTCTTGACCTCGCCCAGCGTGTAGCCGTCGGCGCCCTGGCCATCGACCAGCGGCACGTTGTTGCCCAGGCCCTGCGAGAAGTACTCCAGGTGCTGCGGCGACCCGTAGGAGTTCGACGTGCCGGCGTCGCGGCTGATGTTGGTGGTGCCGTCCGCCAGCTCGTAGCTCAAGGCTTCCGTCTGGGCGTGCGCCTGGGTCTTCTGGCCATAGTGGATGAACACCTGCCAGGTGCCCGCGCGCAGTGTGGCGAAGCCGGTGTCGGGCGAGTAGATGGTCTGCACCACGGGCAGCTTGGCTTCGCCGGTGGGCACGGCCGGCGGGTCGGACAGGCTCGCCCAGCTGCGGATGCCGTAGGCGTACTGCACGCCGAAGGTCGTGGGCACATGCCGGTACAGCGCGCCGTGGGTGGGCTTGTCGACCGGCGCGATGGCGCTGCGGCTGTCGTTGGGGCTGGGCAGGCTGCCGTCGTCGAAGCGGTACAGCACCGGGGCCAGCAACATGCGCTGGGCGCTGAGCGCGTACTTGCTGATGACGTCGGTGCGGCCCACCATGGATGCGATGTCGAAAAGACGCGCGAGCGCCAGCAGCACGTAGTTGTTGTACGCGAACGAGCCCTCGTACCAGATGCCGTCCTGGGTGACGCCCTGGGTCATCACCGCAGCGACGCTGCGGGGGCCGGTCAAGCCGGCATCGGTCCAGGCTGCATTGCCGTGTTCCATGCCGATGGCGGCCGTCGCCACGGCGCACCACAGGTTCATGTTGTTCAGGGTGCCCCAGGAGTACGCCTGCAGGTTGTTGGCGATGGGGAAGAACAGCCCGTCGCGCCACTTCGCCTTGCGGGTGCTCGTCACATAGGGGCCAAGCGCGTGCGCCGTCTCGATCAGTTGCAGCACGGTCGTCGCTTCTTCCAGCGTCTGGCCGAACATGCGCGAGTTGCCCACGGCCGTCTTGAGCGACCACTTGTTGTAGTTGTCAGCGTAGAAGTCGAGCTGGCTGGCGGCGATGTCGGCCATGCGGGTGTCGCCGGTCACTTGATAGAGCCGCGCCGCGTCCAGCGCGTACTCGATGTTGACCTGGCGCATGATCGCCACCCAGGCGCCCTTGAAGGCGATTTCCTTCGCCGTCGTGCCGTTCGGTGGTTCCGGGCTGTCGACCGTCCACTGCAGGGCGACGCCGGTGTTCGGGTCCACATAGTTGTTGGGCAACCCGGCCTGGAGGTCCAGGCGGTCACGGGTCTTGCCGAACCACTTGTCGACCGCGGTGCGCTTCTGGCCCAGCCACGTGGTCCAGCCACTGCTGCTGGCGATGGTGGCGCGAGCGGTGCTCCAGCTTTCGGTGGCGGAGCGCACGCCGAGCAGCACGCCGCTGGTCTTGAGCAGCGTGTCGACCTGCGTGCTGGCCAGGCTCGCCGTCAGTGCGGACTGCAGCGTTGCCGCGGTGGCCTGTGCGGTTGTGGCCGTCTTGCTGGCCGTGTCCTGAGCCGCCGTGGTGGCTGCCTGCGTTGTCGCAGTGGCGGTTGTGGTGCTCAGGCTGGTGGCTGGTGCCGTCGTGGTGACGAGCGAGACCGCGGTGGTTCCGGTCGTGGTGCTGGCGGTGCGGTTGCCCGCTGCGGTCGAATCGGTGGACGTGGCGGTGGAGCCGGTGGCGGTGGTTGTGCTCGGCGCCTTGGGGCCTGTTGCGGCGGCTGCGATCTTGGCGGTGGGGCCGGCAGTCGAGGCGGCGACGTCCGTGGTGGAGAGCTCCGCCGCCGAGGCCGACGACGCGCTGGGCTCGGCCGCGCTCGCGGCATTAGCCACGCCGGTCACGCTGCCAGTGGCCGCTGCGGCGGCATCGATGGCCGTGGATTGGGGCTTGGCCTCGTTG